GCACAGGAGAGTTCATTGTGAAATATTTCTATCGCATAGTCCTTTTTTTGTTTCATGTCATTGTGTTTGATTATTACTACATAAAGTGAAGAATTTTTAGGGCTTTTCTACGGTTTCCTGCCGCGAATCAAGCTGCCTTATAAGAAGTGTAGGTGGCAAACACATTATTTGGTGAATATGTTTAAAGTGCGATGCTCAGCACAAATAGCACTATGATGACGGCTGACGTGGTGTCGTTTCCTAAATAATTCGTAAATAATTTTTTGTAATTATTTATATTAATTTGGGTACAAAAATTCGTTCAGATTAATCGTTGATTTGAAATTAATTTCAGCAAATGTTTTCTAAATCAATTTGAATGAATTATTTATTACAAATTGATTTACGGAATTGAGTTACGGAATCACGCATTTTACAAATAACTATGTTTTCGCAGTTCGAGTTTGTTCCTTCAAGAATGAGCGATAATTGAACTAAAATGACATTGCTAATCTCAAAACATTTCTCTATCTAACTATTGCAAGAGATAGGAGAAAAAGTCAAACGAAAACAGCTTCTTATCTAAATTTGGACATAAAAGGTGACCATTACGTGGAATGGTCCTTTTCCATTTTAAACAGCCTGAACTTCCAGTAGAAGGATGTGCAAGTCGGGAGCCGACTCACTTCAGGCGAGCGAGGCTTCTAGAGATGAGAACATATTTCCACTTCTTGTCTGGACAAGAGAAGTGACACATGAAATACAGTTTTTTGTTAACCTCTGAAGAAGAATTCGCATCTACAGTAAGTTCGACTCCCAATATTAATTAAAACTAATTTATATTATCAAAACTATTACAAATCGATTACAAATACATTTATTTTTAAAATGAATTTTGAGCCATCGAAGCTAGTTTACATCAATTTAACGGATTAAAACGATCTCGAACTCATTCGAAATAAATTACTCTAAATGAATTTGAGAGTGGAAATTAATCTGAAGCAATTTAAAGCACGAAATTAATTCGAATTTATTCAAAATAAATTAATTCAAACCAGTTTAGTTAAAACTAATTTAAATTAATGTCTTTTCAAACTAATTGGAACTAATTTCAACCTAGAAATATTTTCACTGCGAAATTGATGTAAACTAATTTCCTACAAACGAATTTAAATTAATTTGGCCTCCTAAATTGATGTGAAGTAATTTTCCATCGTTTTTTGAGTCAGAAATTAGTGTACATTAATTTAACGTTATTTAAAAGTTTCAATGGGTTGGTAATCATAATGACGATACCGGTACCTTTAAATACGCAGTCCTTTTTATACAGACGGATATTTGGAAAAAATATTTATTCAAATCTTCTATGAGGCTACTTTAACAATAAAATTAATTTGGGCATAAAACTTAAAACTTAAAGGAAATCAGTACTTCTTCCAACACTCACCAATGGGTTCGGTTATAAAAGTAATTAATGCAATCAGTTTTGCACGAATAGAGATTGCGCATATTCCGTACAAGTGAGGTTGTGCAATCGACTCCATATTACCAGAATTTTATTTTATTTTGTTTTCTCGGTTTTATGTAGTTTGAAATAAACTTTATTCTTATACAATTCCTTCACACTTCCAAGCACTTCAGTCTGTAAATAAACGATTTCTTCTATACCAATACGCAAATATTTTCGCGATGGATGGAAGAAAGAAAGGCATCTCACTGTTAAGGAATCAAACTTTTATGACATTCAAAATCATAACACGTTTCATTTCGTTCTCTTACTTCAAACTTCCATTTTCAGGTAGTCAAGTGACAAGGATATAAACTAATTTCTTTTTTATCTCTCTCTCTCTGGTTAAAACATAAAGTCGTTGACTCTAATAGTCACTGATGTCTCACATGTCGTTTGTTACTGTTTTGTTTTCCATCGGAAATCACACCCATAGGAACAACAAAAACTAATCTCAACAGTCTTTCTAGCTGACACAACCTCTTCTCATTCTACTTCTATGTAATACTGGTGTTCGTTCTTCTTTTAGTCGACATATGAGTGTTCGATATTGTGATATCGATACAGACAACAAGAAGCTGACACCGGTGTACGGTTATCTCAGTTCACCACTGGTGCCATTGGAACTTTCACTCGAGAAAATAATACCACTCATCGATAATCTCCAACGCTATGTTAAAATCGCTAAACAACACTGTTATTCGTTCGACCATCTTACAAAAGAGGAATCAGCTGCCTTGTATTTGTATTCGATGGAGTGGGGTGCTCGAAGCTTTTATCGCGTATTGAACAAAGCACTACGAGATGAAAATCGTGCAGCATTAAAACCATGGTTTCCATACTTGAAACTGCTTGACACTGCTCTTAACAAACTGCCATCTAAGAAGCTACCTTTATGGCGCGGTGTCGATGCTGACGTGAGTGGAAGCTTTCAAGAAGGACAACTATTGACATGGTGGTCAGTCAGTTCCTGTTCTTCGTCGATCAATATCATCAAGGACTTTCTAGGCACTAATAGTACACTGTTCATGATCGAAGCAGTGAGCGCAAAGAGCATTTCATCTTACACTTGCTATGCAAACGAGAAGGAATTTGTTCTGATGCCCGGAACCACACTGCAGGTCGTAAGTAATGTGCTTGATCACTCTGGTGGCTTACACATCGTGCATCTGCGCGAAGTTGATGATGATGACGACTCAGTGAGTGACTCAATATCTTCACTCACGATAAATGAGACAACCAATTCCGGTTCATCATCGATAGTAGTGAAGAAGAAAGTGATCTTAGCTGATAGTGGTAGCTATGACGGTGATACTGTGAACGATGTACCAAACGGCACAGGTGTATGTGCATGGCCGACTGGTAGGCATTATACTGGGAAATGGCAAGATGGCAAAACGCACGGTCGAGGAGTTTACACATACGCGAATGGGGACAGGTATGACGGCGAATGGCAAGATGGCAAAAAGCACGGTCGAGGAGTTTTCACAAACGCGAATGGGGGCAGGTATGACGGCGAATGGCAAGATGGCAAAAAGCACGGTCGAGGAGTTTACACAAACGCGAATGGGTGCAGGTATGACGTGAAGTACACTAATGGTGAACGAATTTCGAAGAAGTGTCTGACCGCTTACTGATTGTGATGTCTTGTCTAATGCATACTTCTCTGTGAAAAGACAGTTATGAGGGTGCACAGGAGAGTTCATTGTGAAATATTTCTATCGCATAGTCCTTTTTTTGTTTCATGTCATTGTGTTTGATTATTACTACATAAAGTGAAGAATTTTTAGGGCTTTTCTACGGTTTCCTGCCGCGAACCAAGCTGCCTTATAAGACGTTTAGGTGACAAACACATTATTTGGTGAATATGTTTAAAGTGCGATGCTCAGCACAAATAGCACTATGATGACAGCTAACGTGGTGTTATTTCTAACAATTAGTGCTTGCTGTACTTCGCCGATATTAATCCTTACAGTCCCAAATGTTTTTTGTTCTACAATACAATACAATTTTTGGTCTACAATTCTACATATTAATTGTCCATATGCCGAATTTACTGCTCAAATTTATCTTAACCCTTTGAGTCCCAAATTTTTTTTGCTGGTTTGAATGTAATTCGTAATTCTCAATTTTCTTCATCAGAACTCAACTTTTATGCAATAAAAATATCATATTCGGAATCAGGATGAAAAAGTGAATGGACTGACGTGTATCCCTATTCGAGTACTTTAGCTTTTTTCGGATTTTCACCTTTGAAAATCATCAAGATTTTCATCCAAAACTGAAATCAGCGAAAAATTTCGAAATACAGATCAGTCGGCTGAGATTTTGATCCTGATTCTAAATATGATATTTCTATTATATAGAAGTTGAGTTCTGATCGAGAAAATTCAAAACTATGGACACAATTCCGACTTTTTCGGTACTGATTTAGAAAAAACGAATTTTCTCAGCAACAAAAGAAAATTTGAAGAAAAGCGGGTTATACTTTTGAAGCCGACACTTCAGCAAATATACTGGGATGTAAATGATAGTTCGAATCCTTAAGAAAAGAATGGAAATGAAGACTTATATGATTCTTATATAAATTAAATATATTTGATTTGATAAAATCGTTTTCTCCTAGTTTGTTTTACAGACAATGCCACATAAGTGCATTTTCTATTTATTAGCTAATGCTCCATTGCTTCATTCCAAGAGATTACGTAATAATTTTTATAAATTAAGTTGTGAAAAATAATTATATGACATGTGTAGCTTTTTGCTACCATGGGACTCAAAGGGCTAAACGTACAATTTGAGTTCACTTAGAATACACCAGAAAACTGTAAAGCACTTTTGTATACGACGCTGCGGCAGCAAGATCGATCAAAATTTGGTCGACCGATTTCGTTATATAGTCTTATACAATCCTCCATACTTTTCATCTTTTTCATATTATATTTTACATACCCGCCATGCCTTTCAAACTTTCCATACCTTATATGCCTTTCAAAATTTTCATCCCATTCCTGCCTTCAGTACCTTATATACCTTCCATGCCTCTCATGCATTTCATCCCTTTCATACTCTACATCCCTTTCGTCCCTCCATGCGCTTCTACTTTCCATCCTTTTAACCCTTTGAGTCCCATAGTAGCAAAAAAGCTACACATGTTTTATAATTAGTTTTCACAACTTAATTTATAAAAATTAGCACGTAATCTCTTGGAATGAAGCAATGGAGCATTAGCTAATAAATAGGAAATGCACTTATGTGACACTGTCTGTAAAATAAACTACACTCTAAAACAAAAAGGTATTTTAAAAAACGTTTAAAGGGTATAACCATTTGAAACATATCATAACTGTTTGTCCGTTTCTATTTTGTGACCGAAAAACTGATTCTGGAGTTTTAAAATACGGTTAACCGCGTTTTA